GAAATAATAACCTTGAAAAACTGTCCTTGATGGTATCACTGTCTTGGGATAACAGCCATCAATCCTGGCTCTGCAATCTCTCTCCACCTCTGCTTGGCTGATTAGATGGCTTCTCTGGGTCTCAGTCAGCAGAAGGTAGCGCAATTCAGAAACAACTGTCATCTAGTGCCACCTGGACACCGCCTACTGCTCCATACTCCCTTGCTGTTGAAAAGGGGCATCTGAAGAAAAAGCTTTCAGGGACATTTGGTGGCAAATCTTTTTTCTGACAATCATCATTTAACTCTTTGCCATGATTTTGCATAAATCACTAACAAACTTACATGTGAAAAAAAGAAGTATGTAAAAGGGCAGTTTCATAATTTCTGGAATAATCTTTCTAAGGTAAAATATTATCAAAACATGATGGAGTTAGTAATGAAATTTTAATACTAATAAAATAATAAAATTATAGACAATGTCACTTATTTTGCTATTCTATATGCCAGACACTGTGTCGAGCACTTTACACTTTATTTATTTATTTAAATAGTAAAGAAAGAGTCTTGCTCTGTGGCCTAGGCTGGAGTGCAATGGTATGATTATAGCTTACTGTAACATCAAACTCCTAGGTTCAAGCAATCTTACTGCCTCTGCCTCCTGAGTAGCTAGGACTACAGGTATATAACACCATTCCCAGTTGATTTTTAAAATTTTTTGTAAAGATGAGGTCTCGTTATGTTGTCTAGGCTGGTTTCAAACTTCTGGCCTCAAGTAACCCTTCCACTTTAGCTTCCCAAAGTGCGGGGATGACAGGTGTAAAGCACTGTACCCAGCCTAGGCACTTTAAACTTTAAATGACGAGAACCCACTTGTCTAACTTATCTCCTATGGCATGTGCTCTTGGTACCTAATCCTGAATTGTACCCCACATTTAAAAAAAAAAAAAAATTTAAATGACATAGTCTCATTTAGTCTTTATAACATGCCTGTGAAATAAATGGTGTTATCTTAATTTCTTTCAAATGAAGACCAACAGACTGAAAGCAACTTACCTAAGGTCATACAGTTAGTAAATATATCAGTGATGCTTAAAAACCAGATCATTGTTTCTGAAGTCTACATTATATAGCAAACAATGCTCATGCTAGACTCTGTACTATTAACAACACTAATAATTAATAACCTAGACACTTTGCCACTTAGTTTAGAATGGGTTCATTAAAACTGCTCTATTTATTTCATAAGATATCATAAGTATTAAAAAAGATAATTTTGAAAGTCCTTTGAGAAAAGTTAAAATCATATGTATATTTTTAATAATATATACATGTATATACATATATATACCCACAGATAGTCCCTGATTTACAATGGTTCAACTTACAATGTTTTGACTTTACAATGGTGCAAAAGCAATATGCATTCAGTAGAAACTGTTCAATTACATTGAAACGGTTTTCAATCAATTACATGAGATATTCAACTATTATAAAATAGGTTTTATGTTAGATGATTTGTTGAACCATAGGCTAATAAGTGTTCTGAGCATGTTTCAGGCAGGCTATGCTATGACATTCGGCAGGTTAGATGTATTAAATGCATTTTCAGTTTATTATATTTTCAATTTACGATAGGTTTACTGGGACGTGACCCATCAAAAGTCAAGAGGTATCTGTACATATATTCATCATTAGTGTATAATATAGCTACACTCCAAACATAAACATGGAAGCCTACACATATAGAGACAGGACAGTATGAGAGAAAGGATTGAACTTGGAATCTGAAGACTTGGATTTTAGTCTCAGATGTATGACTTTGGATAAGTCATACCTCCAAGCGTCAACCCTCACTTGTGGAATGAGAGAGATACTTACACTTAATAAATCCTTATTTTTACCATCTAAAGGTTGTACATACAACATACCACATATTTATGTATATTTATATCATTATTTATTTAATAATTACTTAATAATTTGCCACTTATGTACTCTAGGATGATAACAGAATCTCAGAATTTTTTTTATTTAGTTACAATAGAAATATAATTCTTTTCCAGCTATTTATCTTGCTACCTAGTTATCATATAACACGAATATATACTTCCTAATTCTGGTATATTTTTTATCCTTCCTAAATGGAATGTTAAATTCCATTTAGTATTTCTAGCATTGTTTAGGAAAAATAGCAGAGGCAGGATTAAGAGTTAACAAACCTGACTTAAGAAAGTCTCTGTGATCAGAAAACAAATGCTTAAAAATGACACATACACAAGTTTATTTTCTGCAGCATCATTTCTAACAGAAAACATTTGGGAACAATGCAAATTGTTAAATCAATTAAGCTTGTTGTCCATTTACCAGAATATTATGCATCTCTAAAGAATAATCAGTTACTTTTTACTGAAATGTGGAAAGATCTACAGTTAGCTAATTAATTAATTTCACAAAGCAAGGTTCAGAACCTTGCATATAATATTCTACTTCTTGAATAAAAAGCAGGGTATTCGTATTTTATTTATATCTGCTTGCATAAACTTAAAGAAACCTGTGATGGACTTACAAAAAGTTAAGAAGAGTGGTTTCTGTGGGGCAGGAGCAGGGAAGACCCAGAAAATGGCCATCCAGGGCTAAATGCAACTCTTCACTGTTTACCATTTTATATATTTGCTGCTTTTTCAGCCAGCGTGCAACTTCTACTTAAAAAATGCTTTTTTAAAAAAAAAAAAAAAGGTAACTACTTTTAAGAGGTATAATTCAGAATTTAAAGTTATAAATCAGATTGTTTCATATTGGTGTCAAGTTGAGTTCCGTTTAAATTAAGAGGGATAGCCAGGCTCGGTGGCTCAGCCTGTAATCCCGTGCTTTGGGAGGCTGAGGTGAGTGGATTGCTTGAGCCCACGGGTTTGAGACCCGCCTCGGCAACTTGGCGAGACCTCATCTCTACAATAAATCAAAAATTAGCCGGGCGTGGTAGTGCGTGCCTGTAGTTCCAGCTACTTGGAAGGCTGAGGTGGAAGGATCGCCAGAGCCCCAGCAGGTCGAGGCTGTGGTGGCCGGGAGCGGCCACTGCACTCCAGTCTGGGCGACAGAGTGAGACTCCAACTCAAAAAAAAAAAAATAAAATCAATAATAAAAATAAGTAAATTAAGAGGGATTGAGTTTTGATTTGTGGAAGAGGTGGATGAAGAGAGAACAGAGTGCAATATATCCAGAGGGATGAGAGATGGAGGTTCTGTTGATGAGAAGATTTAAAATCTAACCTGTGTCATGGGCGACTGAGCAGCAGGGAGGCAAATTAGGAGAGGGAAGGATGGAAAAGGAGGGGAGAAAGAAAATAAGAAGATCTCTGCCTGCTTTGCAGTTTTGCCTGGTTCCCTTGTAGTTTATTGCACTGAAAATTGGCACACTTCTGACTTTGCCAGGGCAGCAGAGCCAGCAAGATGACTTGGCTAGCATTTGTGGAAATCACTCAAAAGCATGCACCAGGCAATGTGTTACCACCCTGTGTTACTATCACCCAAACCTGGAACTGGAGTACACACAAAGATGGGCGACATGGAAGAACACTCCCAAGGATTTCTGCTTAACATCAGAACCCTTTCCCTGGCATGAAGTCACAGCTATAAAAGGAGGTTACGATACGTAATTTTTTATCAGAGGTGCAGAAGAATTAAGGAAGAGAAATAAGGGACCTTTCAGAAGGTCTCACAAACATAACAGTTCCAAAGTATGAACAAGTATTGAAACAAGATGACAGATGAGGAGGAGACACTGTGTAACCAGGTCGAACTTTTCTAGAAGATGGATGATCATGAGATCATTCCACACTGGCTTTCTACATAATAGAATTAATGGAGAATTTGATCACTATCTGTTTACCAACATGGAGAATACTGATCTCAGGAAGATGACACATTGCAAGATGCTTTTACAGTACAAAAAATGAAAAACAACCTTTAAGCCTAGAACTGCTTTAATTAGACCATACTCTTGTAAGGAGAAAAACATGACTAATAGTGGTATGGTCACTTGCAAGCAGCCTTTTTTTCCCCCTCATGGATAAAAAACAGTTGCACATCATTCATCTAAAATATTAATCACCTCAAGCATGAATGAGTGCCTCTCATAAAGTCATTCAGTATCAAATCACACCACATGCCAGAGAACTACAGTGACACTCTGGTAGCAAAGTAAACAATTTACCTTAAGGAGAATGATGTATCCCTCTGTCTGGTAGTTATGTACTACTTTATGAATAAGAAAAGTTCTGAAAACTTTATACTGAGAAATAGAAAGCAGCTAAAATATGAAAAAATACCATGTTGAAGGAGTTCTATTTCTTTTTTACCTGAATATTGGGCTTGGAAAACATAATATATTGTGTAGATATTTGAAATCACTTAAAAAAAGATTTCTCATCTCTGTGCTATTGACATTTTGGCTCAGATAATTCTTTGTTGTTGAGGGCTGTCCTGTACATTGTAGGATGCTTAACAGCATCCCTGGCCTCTACTTACTAGATGTCAGTGTCACCCTTCAACTGTGACCATCAAAAATGCCTCCAGATCTTGCTAAATGTGCCCTAGGGGCCAAAACTGCCCCCATTTGAGATCTACTGACTTAGAGGTTTGCTCACTTTTCTAACTTTTTTGTAGTAGTAGGAGTAACATATCTCTGTCTCATTCAGCAGAAATGAAACCAAATAAAGAAGCAAATGCAATGGTTATTGTTAAGCAAAACCACTTATCAGTCACCTAGAAGTATCCCTGCCCTCACCCTACTCCAAAAACCCAACCCACCGAGGTATTTTCTCATAGAATGCCTACACAGAACTAAGACTTCCTACTTCCTCAGACCTCCCACACAAAAGAAAGAAAGGCCAAAGAAAATTCATCACACACACATGAATACCAGTTATGGAATCATTCCTTGCTACAAAATTTCCCTCAGAAGCTAAAACACCCTCTGCTGTGGAACAAACCATACTGAATAGCAAACAAGAAAATAACTCACTGTTTCCAGAAGCGGCTTTTTGGAATTTCGTCAGGTCAACATTTGGTGGTCTGTTGGGTTTCTGTGGAGGTGGACCCAAGGTAAACAAGGGAGGCAATGGCTTTCGTTTTGGGGGCGCTGAATTCTTGTCTCCCTTTTCCTTTTCTTGACTTTGGCCCCATGGCTCCCCCACTGTCAGCTTAGAAGGGACCTTAGGGAACTTGGCAGGAGGAGCCCCTGAGGGTGACTCTTCCTGAATCATTTTGCTCAGGAAGATGTTCTTAGCAGCATCTATCTTCCTATCTTCCTTTTTTTCTTCACTATTTTTGGAGAGGCCTGGGCCTCCTCTGCTTGAAACAGGTTTCAAAACCACTCCAGGAAAAGGTGAATTTGATGTATCACTTGCTTGGTTTTTATTTTCTGGGTCTTCCCCCGCTGGTTTTAAAGGGCCACTTTTGGACCTGGCTCCCAGGGTGGCTGAGGGTCCTTTCTGTGGAGGCATATTCTTAGTGGGGCTTTCGTCTTCATGGGAGTTCTCAGTACTCAGGGATGGCTTCTGGCCAAAGGCAGGTTTGGGAAAGAGGGGCTTGGGGTCAAGATCTTGTGAGGCTGACATAAACTTGCCTTTCACTCCGGTCAGCTTTGGGAATGCTTGCTTTTGTTCATTTTCCGAGGCTGGAGGAATAGGCCCAGATTTCAGTCCCGGTGGCTTTAAGTCATGGTCTTGGTTTACACCATGAAGTGGTGGCTTATTCACAGGAGGCCGCGAAAACACAGGTTTGGAATCCTCTTTGGGCAAGTTGAATTGCTTGGGGCCTATAGGTTTCGGAAATCCCACTTTCACCTCAGGGTCTCTGGTGACCGGGTTTGCTGGTGTTCCAAATCTTTGGCCCACCCCAGTGGGCTTTAGAAACGGGGGCTTGGGCTCCTTGTCAGGCTTTTCCTCAGAAGAAGGTTTCACTCCCAAAGGTGGCTTTGGGGAGCCAAATTTAGGCACGTTGCTGGGTCCTGCAGGAGGGATGGCATTACCTTGGTTGTTGAACAAGTTCTTTTTTGCTTGTATTCCTGATGGTGAGTTTTGTCCTGGGACTTTGAAGCGTCGGTTGTTGACTGATACCTCTTCTGTCGGGTTGCCTCCTGTGTTAAATTTCGCCATGAGGGACTTCACATTTGCTTTTCCATCCTACAAGCATAGGGAACAAAAACTAGCTGAGAGACAGAAGTCTTACTCGCATAGTTTAAAAAACTATACCTTGAAGGGCTTCCTGGTTTGAGGGCAGCAGCACTACTGATTGGTTAGCAAGATATTGTAACATTTATCTTCCTCTATGGCAAAATAAGTTGTGAGAGTTTCTTGAAGGAGAGTGGCTATTGGTCATCTTAGAATGACTTGCTTATTTTGGCTTAAGTAACACATCTCTTTCTTCTCATTGTTTCTGTAGTTATCTTGTTGGATTTACTCTAACAATATTTATCTACTTTCTAAAGTTTTATATAAAAAATATGGAAAAATGACTTCCATATTTTATAATTAAGACTTTTAAATAGAAACTACCCTTACAAAGTGAAAGTAAATTCTTCTGTACATGGAGGCTGCATGTTATACAGATTTCTAACATCTCTGTGGTCTGCAAAAATTGTTTTGCTCCTATCCACACTTAAGGTCTCTTTGTTAATGGGGAGATGTGGCAGAAAAGCTCATTTTTGTCAGTAGGTAATAAAATAGATTTTCCTATTAATTTGTAAATATTTAGTGCTAGTAATTCAAATGTGTGCATACCAGCATGTAGAGTGTTTTCACTTTAAAATCTGGTCCTACCTGGAGGGCATGGTCTGAAGAGAGCACAGAAACAACAGGGACTGGCTGGGAAGCCTCATTTCCAGACCATTCCACACATCTGTTGTTCCTTCTCCGAGGTTCTGCTATAGAGTCCCTCCTTGTCTAGAATTAAAATATTACTTAGCAAAGGGAGTAGGCATTTACCTTTCTCTGTGAACAGAATCCCATTTAATCTGGGTCAGCTAATGGCATATTTGCTCTTTCTCGCAAAATCAAGGAGTTGAAATTTTCTAGTTCTTTTAGAAATATTTGAAAATTTGAAGCTAATAAAGAAAAAAATTACTGAAACATGTGGCCATGACAATCCCTTTCCATGCTTTAAAATTCACCTAGAAGGTCGGGCTCAGTAGCTCAGCCTGTAATCCCAGCACTTTGGGAGACTGAGGCAAGTGAATTGCCTGAGGCCTCAAGTTCGAGACCAGTTTGGGCAACTTGGTGAGACCTCGTCTCTACAGTAAATCAAAAATTAGCCGGACATGGTAGCCTGGGCATCTGTAGTTCCGGCTACTTGGAAGGCTGAGGCGGAAGGATCGCTGGAGCCCAGCGGGTCAAAGCTGCAGTGACTATGAGCATGTCACTGCACTCCAGCCTGGGCGATGGAGTGAGATTCCAACTCAAAAAATAATAATAATAAAATAAATCTTAAAAAAATAAAATAAAATTCACCTAGAAAATGTTTTCCCACTTCTTACTAACCTGCCTCTCCCTATTCATTGCAATACATTCAAACACATTTCAAGGCACAAAACCAGACCCCCCTGCCGCTGAGAAGGTTTGCTCCCCACTTCTGACTCATGGGGTACTTCTCGTAACTCTATGTTGTTTTCTCTGAAGGTGGTAAGAGCTATCATTTAGTGGGCAAATATTTGTGCTTGATTCTACATTGTCCCATCTCATTCTTACAGCAGTTGTAAGAGAATGGCATTATTTAACCCCATTTCCCAGGAATAGATAGTGAGGCTGAAACTACAGGAGGACGATATCGCAAGAGCATGGGAACTGGGTTTGGATTCTAGTTCATTAGTGAGGCCTCAGTTGCATAATCTATAAAATGGGGATTCTAACACTCATCTGCTAGAATGGTCATATATGTTAGAGATGGCTTTGGTAAAATGCCTGCCTGGCCCACAACTTGGGCTGATATAGATGGCAACTGTTGTGATTAGAAGTGTCAATAGCATATTGAAGGGCTCGCAGCCCTACCTGAGCACAAGTAGAGCAATTCAGGTGTGTCTAGAGCTCCAAAGTCTAGAAACTGTCTCATTTCTTTTTGTATCTCTGCAACTCCTACACCAAGGCCTGGCACCCTCGGGAGTCTAATATATGGTTGGGGAATGAGGGTGAGTATTGGGGAATGAGGCTAAACACCGTGCATAGTGATTTTGTAGGAAATGGTGTCCTTGGCAGAAGTTCTTTTCCATACCAAACTAGTGTATTTGCAGGGTAGGAGTGAGGGACTTAGGCAGGAGGAGAAAACCTAACAAGAGCAACAATTTCCAGTTTGAAATTTGTACCTTTAGCCAGACATGGTGTCTCATGCCTTTAATCTCAGCACTTTGGGAGGTAGAGGCAAAAGTTTTGCCTGAGTCAAGGAGTTTGAGACCAGCCTGGGCAACTTGGCGATACCTCATCTCTGCAATACACCAAAAAATTAGCCGGGCATGGTGGTGTGCGCCTGTGGTTCCAGCTACTTGGAAGACTGAGCAGTGGAAGGATTACCTGAGACCAGCAGGTCAAGGCTGCAGTGACCGTGAACATGCCACTGCACTCCAGCTTGGGTGATAGAGTGAGACTCTGACTCAAAAAAAAATTGTGCTTTTAATTTATGTCCCTATATCTGAGTCGCTGAAGACACCTTGTTTTCTACCTTGCCTCTCTTTACTGCTTTTCTATTCTTATGGTTTCTTCAAATAGTCAAACAATCATCAAAGGCAACAAGCAGGAAGATAGCAGAACTATGAAGAATTTGGGTTTGGGGGGATGGACTAGGAGCGACAGGCCCTTGCTTGAATTTCCAGGGAGATCACAAGTACGGAGGACACCAAACCTTAGCACAAGAAGCATGAAGAAGTACCAAATACAAACATTTGCTCCCTGCCTGACAGTATGTCAGTCTCTGCAAAATATTTTTTAAATTCTAGATTTACTTTTTTTTTAAATTAGAGACAAGTTCTACTGGAGTGCAGTGGCATAATCATAAATCATTGCAGCCTTCTTGGGCTCAAGTGATACCCTCACTCCAGCTTCTTGAGTAGCTGGGACTACAGGTGTGTGCCACCATACTCAGCTAATTTTTTAGTTTTTTGTAGAGAAAGCATCTTGCTATGTTGTCCAAGCTAGTTTTGAACTCTTGGTCTCAAGGAATCCTCCTGCCTTGGCTTCCTAAAGTACTGGGATTACAGGCATAGACTGCTATGCCTGGCCTGTTCTAGACTTAATTCTATATTGTATAATTTATATTCTAAATCTATAATTTATTCTAGATTTATTAAAAGATGCTATGTAGCAGAATGGTTAAGAGCACAGATGTGGGAGCCAGATGGCCTGGGTTTGAATCTTATCAGCGATTTAACCTTGAATAAGGGACATGACATTCTTTGGGCCTTATTTTGCTCACTTCCTTAATGAGAATAACAATGGCTAGCACAGGGCTGTCAGGAAAATGACATGAGTTCATATTTGTGAGGCACTTCAAAGAGTAGGTGGCACACAAGAATGTTTTCTATTTTTATAAAGCAAGTGAAACCTTAGAAAACATCTAGTTCCTTCTCTCACTGCATTGGTAAGGAATTGGAAACCAAGAGAGTTAAGTGGCCACCTACTTAGTTACAGCAATCTCATATCTTGAAGTTCATGGGGAAAAACCCATAAAATACCCTAACCCGTTGTCAAGCTTCATGTCCTTTTTTTAGTTTGGAAAATACGGAAGTGGCAGATTTGGAATTGGAACTGAAGTCTCTCAGTTGCCAACAAAGACCCAGGAGGCAGTACTATGTCGAGGTTAAGAGCACAGGCTCAGGGCATATAACTTAAATTTGAACCCTGACTTTACCTCTTATTAACCTCGGGACCTAGCAAGTTATTTAACCTTTCTGAGCCTCAGTTTTCTTCAACTTTAAAATGAGAATAGCAACAGTACTTATTTCTCATGGGTTTTTGTTTGTTTTGCTTTCTAAATAAGAATTAAATGGGTTAATGCATGTAAAGTTCTTAGATCAAGAATTGCATGTACTGTAATCCCAGCACTTTGGCAGGCTGAGGTGAGCTGATTGCCTGAGCCCATGGGGTTCAAGAACAGCCTGGACACTTGGCGAGATCTTATCTCTACAATAAATCAAAAAATTAGCTGGGCGTGGTAGCACATGCCTGTAGTTCCAGCTACTTGGAAGGCTGAGACAGAAGGATCGTCTGAGCCCAGCAGGTTGACTCTTAGGTGGCAGTAAGCATGCCACTGCACTTCAGCAGTGGAGTGAGACTCCAACTCAAAAAAAAATTGCATGTAATATATATCTAATGATTACCTACCATCTGTGTTTTTCTAATTACTGGTCACAAGACATCATTTTCTTCATGTGACCAAATTCCGAAGTTACAATCATGAATGTCATGTTCTAATTTTAAATCAAAGTACAAACATACTCCAGAATGACATAAAATAATACAGTTATGGTGTCTGGGCTTGGTTTAGCCACACTCTTAAACTTTTCACAGTATGTTGAAACAAAGAGCAACAAGTTTTCATGCAGGACATCTTGAAGAAACAGTAAAGAGCACATGAACCTGAACTCTACAACTATTTAGACACGAGTACTGACTTCTTAGGTTTAGAGGTAGTTTGATCATTGTTATTGTTACTAAGTTTATTAGATAAAATTTTCAACACCCAGATTCACCCTTTAACTTAACAATAATAGTAGATATTTTCCTTAATGATGATAGAAAAGTAAAAATTATTTTAAAAGTGGACATTCTTTCACTCTGATTTCACTGCAGACTGAATATTCATCCCATTTGCTCGAGCTTATTTTTCAACTTCAAAAAAGGGGAGAAACGCCAGGCATAATGATTCATGCCTGTAATCCCAGCACTTTGGGAGGTTGAGGTAGGAGGATTGCTTGAGCCCAGACATTTGAGGCCAGCTTAGGCAACATAACAAGACTGTGTCTCTACAAATAGTAGTAGTAATAATAATAATAATAACCAGGTGTGGTGGCACCCACATGTAGTCCCACCTACTCAGGAGGCTGAGGCAGAAGGGTTGCCTGAACCTAGGAGGTTGAGGCAGGGAGCTGTGATTGTGCCACTGCACTCCAGTCTGGGAGACAGTGAGACACTGACTCAAA